TATGTTTTCATCGATGCTCCTAGGTTGAACTAGTGGTCGAGTAAATGTGATAAATGTACAAAAATTCTAGAATTGAATGTGTCATGTATTAAATAAGGAAATAATGATATAAATTCACAGTATATTATTACTCCCTCCGTCCCAAAAAGATTTACACCTTTCAAAAAAATTGCGTCCCACAATCTCCTACCCATTTCTATTAAAAACCACTTTTATCCCTTACTTTTTCAAACCCTACATATTACATCATACCTTTTTTCCTAATCTACACATCATATCCTACTTTTACCCATCACATTAAGGGTATTTTTGGAAAGTCAACACAAAATTATCCCTCCCTTAATTTCAACTTTAGTCAAAACGTGTAAATCATTTTTGAACGGAGGTAGTATTATACTAGACTAATAAAGACTTAGATTTTGGTTGAGTCGGTTTATTGTGATCAAAACCGACCATGATCTTTGTGTCTTGGTTCTCAATAGCTAAAATCATGAAATCATTTTTATGCATCAAACAAATGTTTTTTATAATTGGTTTTAAGTTTTAAAAACCCTTGGTCACGCCCAACAAAAAACCATTGCGGTTGGCGTTCGGTGTTTGATTTTCGGCGTCGATTTTTTGCGTCTGAATCAACCAAGTAGTTTTCAATTTTTTATACTTAATTTTTACTTCTGGGCATATTGAAAAGGTTTCCAAGCCTTTTTTTTCTAAAAACCACCCTTGGTGTTTGATCTTTGGTAAAAAATCATGAAAATTGTCTTTATCTTGGTGATTCGTACGTGGTTTTCACCTTAAAGACATGGTTTTGAATTTTTTATAATTGTTTTTACCTAAGCACATTAAATAAGTACTGGTTTTTGGTGTTCATTTCAACCAAGTTGTTTTCAATTTTTATCTTTGGTTTCAACTACTGTGCTTATTTAAAAGGTTCTCAAACTGTTTTTTCCAAACACCACTTTTGGTTTATGGGTTTTGGTCAAAAATCATGAAAACCATCCTCCACTCGATCCATGGTTTTCAACCTAATGGCTTGGGTTTTAACATTGAACACTTTGTTTTTACTTTATATAGCATAAATAAATGTTTCCAAGAATTGGTTTTTTATTTGGAAAACTTTAATTTGGTTTTTGACATCGGTTTTCGGGCTTGGTTTTTTATTGTTGGCTTTTGAAAAACTTCATAGAAGCCCAATAATTGACTATCAACTTATGATAATCGATTATCAACCTATTTTCAGCCAAAAATTTCTTTGAAAGCTTCTTGCAATTGTTTAAAGGAAGGAGAGTTAGAAGTACTTACCTCGCCTTCCTCATGAGCCACGCGACATAGAGTGGCAGTTTCACCCTCGGAGCTTTCCGAATCCCATGCCATATATGCTCGTTGGGACTTACTTTCCTCCTTCAAAAACTTATAGAACTTTTTGAGCAACTTCGTTATCGCTCTTCGAATCACTTACATCTTCTTGCTTTGAAGATGATGCTTTTAGAGAAACATCAGAGCTCTTCTCAACGGAATTAGGTTTAAAAATGGTGGATTCATAAGTGTTAAGGTTACCACTAAGTCCGTCAATGGTTACGTTGGTGATGTCGATAGATTCTTGAATAGCATCGGCCTTAGATCGCCACTCCGGTGTGAGACTTCTCAGAATTTTTCTCACTAGCTCATTGTCCGTATACGTCTTCTTGAGTGCATGAAGATTCTTAACAATTTTTTAAAATCGTCCAAACATGTTATCGATTCTCTCGTTCTCCTTCATATGAAACAATTCATATTCATGGGTTAGGAAATCAATCTTAGCTTCTCAGACTTGATCTTTACTTACCTTCATAAGGTACCGAGACACGGTAGCTCACTACCGCTACCACTAACCTGAGTCACTCCGTGACCCTATTGAATTGATTTGATAGATACATGCAAGTAATCATCACGCCCTCGAGTTCCTGGTAGGCCACTGTTTGATATGTTGATTTATCGCATGATGTGTATAAAGCTTATTGGTGATAATATTAATTAATGAGTTATGATTAAGGAAATAGGTCACCTAGTATACCTAGGAGGATCTGAATTAAATCTATGAACCACCAATAGGACTTGGATTAGAAATTTCACCATGCGGGGTATCGTCGCACATTTGATGGTCTTGGATTAAAAATGTACGTACAGGGGTCCAAGACCTTTCAGGAAATGCCAACGAGGCGCTCCAACTCACCGGAAAGAAGTTCTATGCGGCTCGAGCTTGGCTCCAGGTAGTGCGTGGATGCCCTTGACTCTAGTTGGTTAGTATAAGCCTTAGTCTTTGTAGGTTAAAAGCCATAGATAAGTATAAATGTTTGTGTGTGTGGGTATATATATACACACACACACACATGAAAAGTATTCAGTTAACAATAAGGTTATATGATAATGTAGCAGACTCACACGAGATTGAATGATTGTATGTGAATGTGAACTTATCCTGTAAATTACTTTCAGCGTTAGATATATTCTCAATCAGCTTTCAACTGAGTGTGCAGTTTCAATCAGAATTATTGTTATTGTTATTGTTATTGTTATTGTTATTGTTATTGTTGTTATCATTATTGTTGTAACGCCCCAAAAATAGGCCTATCAGAGTTAATTAATTTATAATTAATTAATTACTGAGAAGGACCCAAAAATAAGTAAATTCCAAAGTTTGTCAATAAATAATGAAAATCATATCATTATGTAGAGTTTGACTGTCTGACCCCAACGGTTCAATCGGATTTCAATTCGGAGAAAGTTGGAACAAAAAGTGTACCCTAACTGGGACCAAAATTAGTCCCAATCAGGGACTACACACCAAACGGCGCCCTGTTTAATTACGCCGATTCCAAATCGTCGCTCAATCACGGAAGCTGCAACCCATGTCTTCTTCTTTCCTCACTTGGCTATTTAAGGACAACCCAACTCCCTCATTTCATCACCAAAACAACTCATTCTTCCTTCTATATTGTTCCTTGCTGAGAGTAGAGTGCAGTGGTGCTGTCATCTTTGTGTGAGGTCGCCAGAGCAGTGAGATAGAGTCGCCGGAAGGTTCGCCGGAAAATCTTCAAAACCTCCCTTACGCTTCAAGGTAAGCCCGTAGATATATCTAAAGATTAGAATGTTCATATAGGTTGTTTTTACGTTCATAAATGGTCATTTGGTTGAATTTTGTGTTTGACATGTTTGAAGAACCAAGAATCATAAACCATGAAATTGTTGTTAAAATTACGAATTAATGACTCTAAAATGATATGTGAACATTGGAGAACATTTTTATATAATTAAATTAAAGTTTGGTGATTAAAAAATGATAGTGTTAAAACTGACCGAGGAATTTTTTACTCTAAAATGATATGTGAACAAACTGACCGATGATGAACAGTGGTCGAAAATCGATTATTTACTTACTAAAAATCGATTAGAATTTTATTCAGTCCAGTGATTCGAAGTCAGTACCATTTAATCGATTATTTATATTGTAAAAATCGATTATTATGAATTAATTGATTATTTAAATTGTAAAAATCGATTATTATGAATTAATTGATTATTTAAATTGTAAAAATCGATTATTATGGATTAATGGATTATTTAAATTGTAAAAATCGATTATTGTGAATTAATGGATTATTTAAATTGTAAAAATCGATTTTTTATTAATTAATCGATTATTTATAGTGGAACAATTGATTATAATGAATTTATTGATTATTTAAATTGTAAAAATCGATTATAATGAATTAATTGATTATTTAAATTGTAAAAATCAATTATTATGAATTAATGGATTATATAAAATTATATAAATCAATTTTTATAAATTAATTGATTATTTTAAATTATTTTCCTCAATTCCAGATGAAAATTTTCCTAAAAATATGCTCTAAAATCCTATTTTTACCAATTGATTATGCACAATATAAATATGATTTTGTACAATAAAAATGATGTTTGTGACATATAAACATTATGTGATGCATGACGGTAAGTTCGGGTGTTAACACTCGAGA